ATTCTAACAACATTTCACCACAAAGGACTCTTTGAAAATCGAAGCTACTTTTGCCTTCGTCTCGCTTTTATTGTCATTAAGCACTGATTCTAACACGATATACATATTTGACTTAGCGTAAACATAGTTAGATTTCAACGGTCGCAATACAGGTCAGAAGATTTTATTTTGCACTACGAAGCTAGACAGATTCTAGAAATTTCAAGACTAATAAAACAGTCGGGGCGTTTCATTTTTTACTCTATCAGTAACAATCCAGCAGCGTGTGCTGCGGTGCGCATCAAAACTTTGTAAAAGAATGCCTTCAGCTAATTCACAGTGGATTTTTTTGGGGGCCACAATTGCGCTAGCTTTCAAACCTATTTTCGCTGCATTTCGCTGTTGTATTTTAGTAATACAGTACCAGTTTCTTATTAACGAAAACCGGCTGGAACGGCAAAAGAATATTACCAAGTTCGATCTTTACTGTTTCGATCAACGGCGAGGAAAGTGGAACAAGAGCTGTAACGGATGAAACCTGTATCCTGCGGGGTGATGAATCGCAAGGCTAAACAAAACAAGTGAGTCTCTAGTTGTACATATTTTACATATTTGATGAAGCAGTCAACAAGTATAAAAATTACGGTCAGTATTATCACAATATGCCTGTTAATCTGACGTACATGTTGGGGCAGCGACGTACGTAGCGTAAATTTGTAAGATCATGGACCAGTTCAGGGCCTCTGAACTATGATTTATTGAGCTCTTCTGGAAGCCACGGACTCCAAAGTGCTGTGGATGAAGCGATGCCACAGATATCCCAGCCAACATTGTCAAATAGTCTTTGCATGGCTCAACCCCACTATTGAGCCAGAGCTGAACGCGCAATTGACGAGCTAATTCCATCCCTGGGTATGGGTGACGGGAGGTTAACTTCTCAAACCGTTGATTTGCATGCAATCGTGGTGGTAGTGTTAACAAAATTTCCACCGATCGGCCACCTCCTGCGACGTAGCCAGTATATGTGCTCATATTCCAGGAATCTCCAAACAGAACCGAAGCTGCAATAGCATGTAAGCCACATGGTAATACCTCGAACTTGTGTGTTTGGCCGTCCAGTTCCAGTACTGTACTGGCTGGAGTATCGAGAGGAGTAGACTCAAACATCGATGCCTTGACAGTCAGGCGCGAACCTTCCATCATCAAATCCAAACTCCCACAATTTCTTATTAAAGCCAGCGTTGACAGTAAAGAAGGATTGGGATTATGTGCAGAGCTTGCTGGGGAGCAACTTGGTTGGATAGATAATGTTGTTGAGTCGAGGAACCATCGTCGATTCCAACCCTCACTCCACGACCAAATCGTATTCTTTGGACAACGGTGATGATCTAGACCAGTCATGCTACCCCTTGTTGAGAGCAAAATATCGTTCTTCAGTGATTCAGAATGTGCAATCAAGTTTGCACGTGATTTTACTTGGTCATTTAAGCGTTCCAGAGACCATAACTCATCTCGAGAGATTTGTGCGCACCCTTCGAATACTTGATAAAGATCTTGAAGCATTACCTTTATAGAATTTTCTTTGTGAAGTAAGATCTCTGATACCGCTGAGCGCAAACTGTTGTATCTTGGTTCAGAGTAGATCAGCGAGAGAACGTCGTCCACAAGAGCAAAAATAGAGGAGTACCTGTTATCATGCTGATGCAGTAGCAACTGCTCTAACTCATCAAAAGCTTCCGCAACAAGATGATACAACTTCTCGCACGATATTCGGGAGCTGTGATCTCCATCTTCCTGCCGTTCAAGTACTCCAGAGGAAGATACTTTCGCTATAAT